TCACATGATCCAGGAATTATCTCATAATCATCAAGATCTACTGGCTCCACCGACTAGAACCCAACCACCTAAACAACAGCTAAAATCATCATGGTTGAAGCTGCCAAACGGTATCATCAAGATTAATATAGACGCGTCATTCTCACCAAACTCGGGGGTAGCTGCCCTGGCCATGGTAGGACGCAACTCGAATGGGGAAATCTGCTATAGAAAGACTTGGAGTGGCATGGCATTGACGCCACTAATGGCAGAAGCTGACGCTCTCCTTAAAGCCGTCCTTTTTGCTGAAGATAATGGGATTCAGGATGCTATCTTTGAATCGGACAACCAGGTGCTCATCTCGTCTATCCACCAACCTTTTCAGCCTTTACCGTGGGAGGCTAGATCACTTATCATACGTATTAGACAATCTAATGTAAGGAATCCTGGCTTTAGTTTCAGTTTTGTACCACGGACAGGCAACCAAGTTGCAGACTGGGTTGCCCGTTCATCTCTTCATGGGCAATGCCCCTCCTACTGGGCACATTGTCCACCTAATATCCTCTTGCACTTGCTATGTAAGGATGTTAATAATAATTAATTACATTACCCATGTTCAAAAAAAAAAAAAGATTATTATTTTGAGATAAATTTTTAATTAAAAAATTTTATAGTTAAAATAGTAATATGGTCCCTCAACTTTCAATTTGTATCAAAATTAATTTTCAACTTCAAAAAATACCAAAATTGTTCCTAAATTTTAATTTTTAATACCAAAAATGTTCTTTCATTAATAAAAGTGTCACGTAACTCATTACTTTGTCATAAAATTAGTTTTTTTAAAATACTATGTATAAAATCAAAAAGTTATATTTTGCTATAATAGTATTTTTCTACATACAAATCAAATTGATATATAATTAAAATTGAAAAACCAAATTGGTATTTGTAATCAAAGTTAAAGAACTAAATTGGCAAAATACTCAAATTTACCCTTAAAGTATAGTGGTAAGGATGGATCCACCCTGAATAAAAAACGAGGACAAATCCATCCACAAAGTTTTTAACTTTGAAAAATTATCCCAAATTTAACGTATGATATCATTTGATGCCATTAATATGTTAATTTAACGTGATTTGATGTCAGCAATCCGTTATTAGTAACATAACAAATTAATGGATTATTAACATCAGATGATGTCAAATGTTTAATTTGTGGTGATTTGTTTAAATTAAAAATTTTGTAGGTAAATTTGTCCTTTTTTTGTTTGGGATAGATTTGTCCCTGTCGCTATACTTTGGGGGTGGATTTGGGTATTTTGCCAACTAAATTAATACTTGTCTTCAAAGTTGAAGGATTACATTGGTATTAATTTCGAAGTTTGAGGACTATTTTAGTACCTAAAATTAAAGCTTAGAAACAGTTTTGATAATTTTTAAAATTAAGGGACAATTTTAATACAAATTTAAAAGTTGAGAGATTAAATTGGCATTTAAACCAAATTTTATTATTCTAAAATAAATTTTAAATCAAAAAATTTTACTATAAAGGGAGCATTAATAGTATTTTATATGTATTTTTAATTAAATATCATTTAAATAAGACTTTTTATTTAATATATATTGTAATTATCTTTTTAAAATAAGTATAAAATAAAAATAAATGTATTAAATGATATATTAAAAATAATTAAAACTTCATTTAATATAGTTATTATTATATTTAAACTAAATTTAATAAATTTAATTTTTTTATAATAAAATTTGATATCTAATCTTGATTTACAAAGTAAGGTAGAAAGGACGAAAATTTAGAACAAAACTTAAAAATAAAAGTTTGAGATGAAAATTTAGAATTAATAATGTGACATAAATCACATGATCAAATTAATTGATATATATAATATTATAAATTTTTTAAAAAATTTATTATTAAATAATATAAAACTTATTTTTTAATTATTTTAAATAAAATAACTTATATTACATTATTAAATTTAAATTTAATTTAAAATTTTAATCTTATTTAGCATTATTTTAATTTAAAAAACTAAATTAAAAATTTAAAGTATTTTTTGAGAAAGATTAAAATTTTAAAGTATTAAATTAGATAATAGATCCACTAAACTTAGAAGAAACATTGTATGTGCGCCTATATTTTTTTCCGTAGTGGAGCGCGCTCAGCCACGTGTGTTTCAGATATCGAGGTAAATAATTTAACTTGGTTACGCGTGCGAGTATAAAAATGTGACTTACGTCAATCAAAAGAAAAAAAAAAAAAAAATCCGATGTACATTTCCTACTTGGACTATTTGGGTGGTAGCTTGGCACCACCACAACAAATTCTATAAATACACCCAAACGCTAACGTAGATTTAACAAAACACGTTAACTCTCTCTCTAGATAGCTCTTTCTCTCTCTAGATTCCGCTTACGCGTATATATTTTCCGAGGAAAATCGGTAATCGGATCCTCACACTCTCCTCCGATTTCCCAAAATCCTTCTTTACCGATCTCTTTGTTACCGGTTTCTGGCCTCCGATTCGGTGAATAGAGAGGAAGAAAGAGGGGAAAAGGTCGGACAGCGAGAATTCTGCATGAGCTGGTTGGGTGACCTGGGTTTTTCTTCGAATTCTAGCCATTTCATCACCTGTCTTTTGATTTTTATTCTCCATTACTCTCCTCAGTTAACTGTTTCCCCCTTTAAATTCGAGAAAAAATCCATAGAGCCGTTGTTATTATTTACCAGTAATCCTAATTTTTTAAGTTTTAGTCGCCGATCATCACTGAATCATGGAGAATACCGACCGCAGTAATCACCAATTGCGCAGAGGTACGTTCTCCTTCCTGATCCCTGTATTCCTATTTGCATTTTGTTTCTTTTAATTTTGGTTTTCAATTGCGGTTAAATGAATAATAAATTGTCGTTATCTCTATTTTTTTTTTTTTTTTTTGGGTCAGTCGTTATCTCTATTTGATTGCGTTTGGATGTTTCTTTCGTTCGTTTGATTTGTTAAGAGATTGTAATTTGATTTTTTTTTAGTGGCACTGTACGGAGTAAAGCTGTAGGGAATTTGGGATTTTCTTCCCCCCTTTTTTTTTTTTTAATCCGGCTAAAAGCAATATTTAATTTTAGGCCTTGCATGCCGTCTAAATTGTACTCTATTGTAAACTATAGAGCTAGGGATTGAATGAGGAGAGGTCCATCAGCCAGCCTCTCTAAAGATTAAATCTTAACAATACTATTTTTCATCTACAATGGTAGTTAAAAAAAATTAAATCAACCAACCAATTTAAAAAAGTTAAGTACGCACTTGCATTTTCAATAAGAAATAAGAAAAATGATGCAGAAAAGTTAGTGTTCCATTATAATATTATATATTATATGTTAGGTCATTGACAGGGAACAATGACGGGTGTCAGAAACCCACGTAAGCAATGCCCTTGGCATTGAAATGAACAAAGGGTTGAATTGGAAAGTGACTTTTAGTGACGCAATAGGAAAGTTTGGATGTTTCATGAAATGATGTGGGAGAGTAAGACTACCAATATTTTTTTTAAGTAAGCTTAATTTAAAAAATTGGACTTGTTATGTTAAAAAGATTATTACCTTTTTTTCTTTTATACTTCTGTCATCCTGTTCTTTCTCTTATTAAGTTTCGTAGATTAATCTACACAAGAAACAAACGTATGCATATCCTTTTCTTGTGCCTCTGTAAAGTTGGATGCAGCTTATGACTGGGTCTGGCACGGCTGCCACATCATGGGAAGCCTGTTGCAGTTATCAAATTATTATTAGTGTTGTTGATGAAATTGAGTTAAATATTGAAGCTCTATTAAGGGGAGATGGTGACAGAAAAGGGAAAGTGATGTATTAAATTCTGAGAAAGAAATTGAACATGTTAGAGCTTATTCTAGTGGCAAGCTGATGTTGATAAACTAAATCTCTGAGAAAGTGGAGAACCTTTCATAAATTTTGTTGGGAAGTGGAATTCATTACAGACCTTTCATTCTCTATAAATGCTGGTGGAGCTACTAATTACCTAAGGTTCTATTTGGAATGAGTTTTTAAGAAAGATTTGAAATTGCTTAAAAGCAAATACTCTTTTTGGCAATTGGGTATTTGAAAGCCAAAGTTATCAAATATGAAATAATACTTTTATGAATTTTATTTTGGGTTACCCTTTCATCTCTACTCCAACATTAGCTGTAAGAAGCCACTCGCCAATTATTGCTAGATGAGGCACAACCACTTCTTTCCAGATCTGACATTATTTGGAAAAGTAATGGTTGGCAAATGGAGAATTTAAAAGTGGATGTTATGAATGCTGTGATCTTTGTTTCTTTTTTTTTTTTTTTTTTTTTTTTTTTTTTTTTTT